AAATTCAAAAGGAGACTGGGAACGAATGTGAAAATATTACCACATTAAAGACCACACTAAAATAAGTTCTTGTCAAGTTTGAGCATATTTGGTTGAATACTGACCGAGTAGGAATTTTTTCAAATTTGTAAAACTAAGAGAGAATGTATGGTTTTTGGGGACGGTGCTCAAAACCTCGACCATACATTCTTTGTAATTTGTTCGTGTTTCAAACGCTTGAAACTCTGTAATTRTTAATCCGAATACTCTTAAACTCAGCAGATTTACTAATTTTAGTATGCTCTGTCTTTTCCAAGTGTCTGTTTTTTGATTGCTTCAAACAGGTTCGAGTTTGTGGCTAGTCACCAGTCCCTTTTTGAATTTCGGAACGGGCAATTAGAGCAGCGACAAGTTTTGGATCTAAATCATCAATGTTCAATTTGTTATCTAAASATAAGTTCATTTGAAAATTTAASTTGCAGATCTGTAAGCACTGCGTGCTCTAATTTTCTGTTATGAYATTCTGGATTTGCATTGTCTTCTTTATTGGTCTGGTGGCAAATACWGCTGAAAGCTGTTGGTATCCTTACTGTAAGTTACGGCTTTGTTAACTCATACTTTTAAAATGCTTTTAATCAGATATCTCCTAACCGACTACCCTTTTAGAAGATGTTTACCAGATTGCCTGGGCAGTTTTTATGACATTATATAGGCGATCGGATTGGGGATCAATTAGCGGCARACTGGTGTAAAGTTCTGTTATTTCAATGAATTTTKGTTTTCAGAAGATTGATCTCTAACATAAATTGCAGCACGTAGTAATTCACAATTTACTTTAAAGCATTAATTTTTCTTTATTTTCTCAATATAGACAGCTGCGACTTTGACCGGCGATCATTCTGCTCTTGGGAAAATGACAGATATCGAGACCTCAAATGGAGCTTGGAAAAAGGAAAAGGACCAAAACTATCCGGTAAATATTATATTACTGTAGAATTCCGTGTATTTTATTTCACATATTGTTCAGTCAGACCTTCGAAATATTTAGCATTAGTATTACCAATCCTAGTTTTTTTTTAAATGGTGCCACTAACTTAACTAATAGCAATCTTGGAATGAACAATGTTTGTCAGCTACAGGMATTCTTTCATTTTTAGATAGGTCAGATAGCTACAAAAATTTTTTCCTTACAACTAAATGCTTGCCAGCTACCTCCAAGTACAGTAAGAACATAGGCTAGATTTGACAGCGGGGAGGGGGGGGGGGGGGGGGGGGGGGGGGGGGGGGGGGGGGGGGGTACAGATTTAGTGAGAACTGTTTCTAGTTATATACATCTACTTGCGAAAACGTTGTCATAGAAAAAAGAACATTTGAATTTAGTAAAAGGAATTAAGTTTATGTTTTGACATAG